GTGTTGCTTCAGGCCTCTCAACGACGTGAGAAACGCTCGTCCCTCGCTCTTTATCCCTCCACCTTCGTCATCTGCCGGAAGGGTGTATGATGGGTCTGTCACCTCCATCGCAATATCAACCAACCCGCTAGGAAAGAGCACCTGGATACATTTAACTGGCGCAGGGTTGCACTGAGGATTGTGCGCAGAAAGGGCAAATTGGCACCATATAGAGAGGTATGGCGGGAGCGGAGGTTGGTTGGGCAGGTGAAAACGCGCCCTGGATGTCGATGTGGTGTTTCTGGGTGAATAATGGAGGCCATATGTCGGTCAAACGCGATCGAGCACGGACTCAACCAGCACAAGAGCGCGATGTACGTGATTGAGAGAAGCGTGTGGAGGTTGTTCGAGCCAGGAGGGATTGTAGCGGACCCTTGCATCGCACTGTGGGGTATGCTCGACCATTCGAAGCCAGAGTTGGTGGATGGATGGATGGACGAACGGACGAGGGAGTGGTGCCTCTGCGTCAGTCAGCAGTCGAGTATAGTAGCATATAGGAGGTAGCATTAGGGTCACGCAAGAAGCATGAGGGTAGACTCTATTAATATATGCACCGGAGTTGTCCAATGTCTGCAACCCAACAACCTTCAACTTGTCTTCAACCAATGCTTACCTCTACCAGCAGCCCTTTTCATTCCTCTGTCATGTACTTACTACAACCCCAGTGACGAGCAACAACCCATTAGTTGGCCCAAATCACAACCATGTCATATTTGCTTTGATGTATTCTCGAGAGATAATTATTTTAAGGGTCTCTCATAGTGCCTGCGCATGGGTGATGCGGTGCTTTACAACTGCCAATGCCAACGATCCGACGCCGTTGTCGTCTGATACGCACGTCTTAACGGAGGCACGGGCTTACACACGGCGTCGTGGAGCGTCGTGCCGGTAACTTTGCGGTACTTCAGCTCGACATCGGGGGAGTTGACATCGTGTTGGAATGAAAGGGTATGATTCATCCAGTTCTCGTCGTCAGGCTGTTTTGTTTAAGAGACATGGGTTCGTCACAATCTACAAGGAAATGAAGGGAGAAAGAACGCACGTCCGGGAAATCTTCACGAGCATGAACACCACGAGTCTCTTTACGGGCAGCAGCAGAGGTGATTGTCTGGATGACGCACTGAAGGATATTGCGCAGTTCAAGCGTCTCCACGAGATCCCTACATCACATCCCACCCCAATCAGAACTCGACATAAACGGTTCAAGAGGACGAGGCTCACGAGTTCCAAATCATGCTCCTGTCCTTGATACCGACATTTTTCCAAGTTTTTATAAATGGAGCGAACCTTTTCAACACCTTCATCGAGATTTTTTTGGGTCCTGAAGACAGCAGCATCGGTTTGCATGGCCTGTTGCATCTCAAGACGGATCTTGGCAGTTGGCTCTGGGCTGTCAGAACGCCTAATCGAACGATTCGTCAGCTACATTTACAGAAACTCACAACGGAAAGCATACCTAATCTCGTCCAGGAACTGAATGCGTTCAATGCCAACCTCGTCAGGGATCGCCTTGTGCGGCTCGCCAGGTGTCAGTGTGTCTCGGATATGATGAGCGACAACACGGCTGAACACGTCGATATCGAAAAGTGAGTTTGCACCAAGACGGTTGGCACCGTACAAGCGGCTTCTCCAGCAGCGTACAAACCAGGGACAATCTTGTCATTGCCGTCCTTGTCAACGGTAAGCACCTCGCCGGTCTATTTGGTAGGGATACCACCCACTGTGATAAAAGAATCATTAGAAACAATTACATTCATCGAGAGAAGGATGCATACTGTTGTAGTGCACGGTGGGCAGAACCGGGATAGGCTCCTTGGTGACGTCGACACCAGAGAATATGGCGGCAGTTTCAGAGATACCGGGCAGCCGCTCGTGGAGGACTTCAGCAGGGAAGGTGGCTCAGTTGTAGGTAGATGTGATCCTTCAGGACCAACACAACGACCTTCGCGAATTTCAATTGTCATGGAACGGGAAACGACATCACGCGAAGCAAGATCTTTCGCGGTAGGCGCCTATCGTTCCATGAACCGTTTACCCTCAGATTTCAGGAGATACCCTCCTTCACCTCGAGAACCTAAAACCAGAACGTCAGCCAAACACAGTTGTTGGTGGCCTGTAAGTATGTTTTACCTTCGAGGCACCCAGCACCATAAATACCAGTAGGATGGAACTGGACGAATTCCAGATCCTGAAGGGGAAGTTCAGCACGAACGACCATTGCATTTCCATCTCCAGAGCAAGTGTGGGCGCTCGTGCAGCTAAAGTACGCTCGCCCATAACCACCCGTCGCCAACACGGTCTTGTGCGAGCGGAAACGATGGAGTGTGCGGTCTTCCATATTAAGAGCAATGACACCCACGCACTTGCCGTCTTGCATGATCAAGTCGAGGGCAAAGTACTCAATGAAGAAGTTGGTGTTGTGACGCAGCGATTGGCCGTAAAGCGTGTGCAGGAGGGCATGACCA